GACACCTACTATGTTCCAGGTGCTATTCTCGACGGCTTTCATTTAGTACTCAAAGCAGTCCTAAGGGAAACACTTTCATTCCCATTTTACAGATGAAGATCTGAGACAGAGACTTAAGGAAGCTTCCCAGGTCATATGGCTATTAGGTGCTATTCATGTGGCCATATTCTCAACCTCCAAGTCCCTGTGAAGGCTCCAGGGAGCACCCTCACTGCTATTTGAGCCCCACTGTGTGTCATAGATCCGGGTAGAAGTCCTTGGGTGGGAGGCGTATCTGTTCGCTTTGGCTACAATAATACTACATAGCAAACAACATCAGAACTTCAATGGCAAACAACAGTGAGCTTTGATTTCGCTCCCATGTCTGGTGTCTGCAGCCGGGGATTGGCTGATGTGGGCCGGTCTCACTGGAGGTGGCTCTGCCCCACAGTCTCTCCCCCTCCCCCTGGGATCAGCAAGCTGCCCCAAACTAGCTTCTCCCAGTGATGGCTGAGGCGTGTGTGTGTGTGTGTGTGTGTGGGGGGGGGGGGGGGTGCAGGTAGAAATCGGTAAGATTAAGCATACCATCACTTCATCCCATTCTATTGGCCAGTGTAAGTCACATGGTCAACCCAAAGGCAAGGGCAGGGAATTAAGCTCCACCTACAGCCGTGAGGGAGCCGCTGTCCTGAGGGAAGAGATGAATTGGGTGGCCGTTCTTCCCTCCCTCTTGACATCCAGGAAGCAGCAGGACAATGTCAAGTTCCCTGCAGAAGACAGCAGAGCCCTGGACCTTCCACCTCCCTCTCATCAGGATGAAGGGGTGTCGCTCTGATGAAACCCCCCTCAGTGGGTTGTGGGAAAACATTAGCTGTGGTTTCTCTTCACATCATTGTCTCTGATAATGTTAATGATACCATAACGCACAGTTGTCTGGGTCTTGAGGGATCACAAGGTTCTCATTATCTTCCTGATCGGCACGTCAACCCCACGGAGTGTGCGGAGGAGGGAGGGAGCCTAGGAGAATGTATAATTAATAACAACAGTAACAATAATTGTACTTTCTTCAGCTCTCGCTGTGTTCCAGGCACTGATTTACACAACTGACTCATTTAATAGAAGAGGAATGGCGCATCACCGGGGCTCTGGGATCGGAATCTGCTTTGGAATCTCAGGACTTCTGCCTCCCAGCTGTGCAGCCTTGGGCAGCTTACTTAACCTCTCTGTGTGCATTTCCTGAAGCTGCTGGAACAATGGCCACATACTTTGAAACAACAGAAATGTACTCTCTCCCAGTGCTGGAGGCTAGAAGGCCTCTTTTTATTCAGACACCAGTCACACTGGAGTAAGGGCCCTTCCTACTCACAAGCAACTCCAGTATTAACCCACACGACTTAGCTAATTACATCTGTAGTGACCCAACTTTCAAATAACCAAATACAGGCCCAGTCTGAGGTTCCGGGGAGGACAGGAGTTGGGAGGGGGGTTCCATCCGAGCCAGTACACTCTGCAAGCCTCGTTTTTCCTTTCGCATCTGTAAACTGGTGCTATTCGTAGCTGCTGTGGCTGGGCTTGTTGTGAGGATGGGATAAGACAAATGGCTGGAAAGCGGTCAGCACGGAGCCTGGCACAGTGAGCGCTCACCACATACAGCGGGTCCCAGGATAATGTCACTTCCTTCAGCATCCTTTCAGGATAATGTTGATGAGGAAAAAGAATGGATTCCTGCTGGTGGCCACTGTCTGTGTGCTTTGCACGTTCTGCCTGCGTTCTCCCCTGGTTCTCTGGTTTCCTCCGGCGTGCCCACTTGCCTGAGTGTGTGTGTGTGTGTGTGTGTGTGTGTGTGTGTGTGTTCACATGCACCCTGCCATGGGAGGGCATCCTCTCCAGGGTAGGTTTTGCCTTGTGCCCTGAGCCACCAGGATGGGCTCCAGCCACTACCCCCTCCCCCGACCCACCCCCTGGCCTGAACTAAAGTAAGCAGGTTGGTAAATCATTGTCTTGCTTGTTTTTATTCATCTTTCTAAAATGTGTGGCTAGCTCACATTTATTCCAATGTCTGATATTAGAAGTCCTTGGGGTCTTTATTTAGAAGTTGGGTGATGCTTTGTGACCAGCAATATGTCGTAGGAACTTAACTCTGACTTACATCGATTAGCCTGTGGTAAAATTGGTTTGGTTGTGTGTCGTGTGCTCAAAGCCACCGTTTCCAAGAACCCGGGGACAGCACGGAGTGAGCACTTACTGTGGAAACTCACCGTCCACCGTCACCATCACTGTCCCCACGTTAGAGTTGAGGAAATGAGGTCCAGAGAGACCAAAGTGCTTGCCATCCGCAGAGCCAGGTTTGCTAATTCCTGAGCCAGCGTGCCCTGCGTGCAGTAGGTGCTCAATAAATGCTCCAGGACAACAACCTGAAATCCAGTGGTCACACACCCAGCCATGGAGCCCGGGGCCCCTGGGCTGGAAGGAGAAGGAACCAGGAGGGTTCCTCTGGCTGGGTGGGATTGGCCCACCTCCACCCTCTCAGCTGTCTGAAACCAGCTCCTAATCCCACTGCTGGTGCTGGCTGGGGAGGGCTGACACACCTGGGTAATGAGGTTTACTATCAATATTGCTAATTGGAGCCCATAAATTAGTCCATCGCTGCTGGCGGCTGTGTAGTGCCTGCTGCATGGCCCCAGGGGGTTTGCTGGTCTAGAAGGCTTTGCGGAGACAGAGAAAGCCAAGTTTTGACACTTGGTCAACACTCTTCTTAACCAACTGCACCTCATCTTCCCTCCACAAGGGGTTCCCAGGCGCAGCTGATTTCTCCCAGGATCGGGTTGGGTGGGCGTGCCCCGGAGGTGGCTATGCTGACAAAGGAACAGGTAGTTCCACAAAGGGTTCAAGTTAGAGGTTTACCCACCTACCTTAGCAGGGGGAAGAGAGGGGCAGAAACAACGTCTAAGGGAAGAACAAATAGGTGTTTACAGAAAAGACACATGGGTTTTAGAACAAATGGAAGAGGAGGAAGCTTGTGATATTGTGGAGACAGGTGTGAGCAGTCTTCTCTGGAGCCATAACCCCCAGAAGGGAATTCCAGTCTGTTCCCTGTGAGTCTCTCTCCTGGAGGTGGGCACGCCCACCGAGGGAATTCACGGCGCCCCATTTCCCGAAGTTGCTGCTTTTAGTCCAATAAGAGAGGCTCCAAGAAGGCATCTTTCTGCATCTGTTGAATCTCAAATGTTTTCAGCTTAAAATAACCTTCATACCAGCTCTAGGGTTCTGAGTGGGTCCCCAGCTGAGTGGTTCTGAACTGAGACCTGAAAGTTAAGAGGAGGAAGCCAGGCAGAGATGTCCCCAAGCAGAGGGCATGGGGTCCCCGGGACTGGCTGAGTCATTGACCGACTGGATGGGAAGTTGCAGAATGTGAACTTTAGGGTGCGTCCTAAAACTCTCTGGATTTTCTTTTTTGTTAATCCTCACCGGAGGACATTTTTTCTTTTGCTTTTCAGAGTGAGAGTGAGAGGAAAGAGGGGAAGTGGGGGAGAGGGAGAGAGAGAGAGAAGGAACATTGATGTGAGACACATCAACTAGTTGCCTCTCGCTCACACCCTGACCCAGGGGAGAGAGCGAACCAAAACCCAGGTACATGCCCTTGACCAGGAATCGAACCTATGACCCTTCCATGCGCAGACCGATGCTCTAACCACTGAGGACACCGGCCAGAACTCTGGATTTTCTTGACAAATAGGGCAATGAAGATAAAGGTTGGGAACCAGAGTATCTAAGTTAGACATAACTGCCCATCAGCGGTATGGTCTCAAGCAGATCACTTAATGTCCCCGAGCCCTAATTCCTCATCTGCAAAGTGAGGGTAATACAATCAACTCAAAGCACTGGTGTTGGTCATCTGAGCCCATGCCCACGAAGGCAGTTCGTAGGTACTTGGCAGTGTAAGTGCAAAGTTTTTAGCTTTAGTTATCTTTGAGAATCACGTGCCTAAGGGGACGGGTGGGGTGCAAAAACGAGGAGGGGGGAGTGGTGACTAGAGGCCCAGGGGCAATGGAGTGGTCTGGTTCCAGCACCAAGAGGGGCTTGGGCAGTACCAGTATCTCTCCTGCACGGTGGGCCGCCAGGTTCAGCCTGGGCAGGCGGACAAAAGGTGGCCGCAGAGATGCCAGCAAGTAGATTCCAGAAGCAATGCTTGAGCCTTTGAACCGGACAGAGGCTAAACACCAGGCTTCCTGGGCAAAGGGCTCAAGGGCCACGGTGAGAACGAGGGTGGGTAACCCCGGAGGAGGGTGAGCAAGGAGTGTCACAACCATTTGGGAGCGAGGAGCAGGGAGGGACCAGCTCCACAGGAACTTCTGATAGGGCCACTGCGCAGTATTTGGCTGTGGCTCCCTCTGCTGGTGAGTATGTGAACTGCATGTGCCCATCAGCCGCCAGGAGAACTGATCACCATTCATTCATTCATTCATTCATTCATTCATTCCTCCTTTATCACCAAGTATAGGAGACACACGGGCAGCCAAAGGGGTGCTTGCCATCTTCCCGATGTCCTGGTGGGTATGATAAATGACGAACTTAACCAACGAGGTGCAAGATGAGGACTTTATCGGCGTCATCGCAAGACACAAGTCATCAGAAAGGAAAAAAAGATTTAGGTAATCAATAAGACAAAGAAATGTTCTCAGGTGAGCGGGTTAATTCCAGAGGCCAAATAATAACTTAAATGTTGATGCACAAGCATACATCAACCCCGCAGTTCCGAATGCCAGTCCAGTTCTTGGAGCAATAAGGAAAAGTTCTTCCCGGTTACGGTTTTTGCACGTTTAAAATAACTTATATTCTCACAATTATCTTAGTTCTCTGACAGTCGAGGTTATTCTCTTCAGTTGTTGAGACAGCCTAAAAACTGCGATTTAGACTTTTTTTTTTTTTTTTTCAAGTAAAATATAAGGTTCACATGTTGTAAGATACGGTTGCCCCAACTCTCCCAAGCGAAGCCTTGGCGCGCGATTTTATCCCGCGGGGTTTGACTCCTACGGGCCCCCGTAGCGTCCCCGGGCTGCTTCCGTTTCTGACGCCTGCCGTGCTAGAGCACTTCCGGCGGCGGCGGCGGCTCCTGCAGCCGAGGCAAGATGGTGAGTGACTAAGGCTTTCGGCTGGTGGTCGCGGTGTGACGGGGTCCGAGCGGCCCTCCCGCTGCCCTGCCCGCCGGCCCGCTCTCCTGGGGGGACGGAGGCTCCGGGCGACGGTGCTCGGGTGCGCCGCGGGCCCGTGCCGACCTGCGGGCCTGGCTCGGGAAGCTGGGGCCGGCTCGGCGCGAAGGGTCCCCTAGGAAAACCG